GCAAAGCAATTTTGATGAAGCAGAGAGCCATGACCACTCATAAGAATGTGAGATTTCCTCAAAGTATTTTGAGCATAATAGTGACTTGATTAATGTTTTGCACAACTATGGTGTCCATACAAAGAATGAATTGGGACCATGAAAGGTTGACAACCCATTAAAACTCTACTCACATAGTCCACACTGCCACAATGGGGTTCCTGACTAAGATGGTGGAAATGTAGACAAAGAGGAGGTGGGTTCAGCATTCAAAAGAGATTGAAAAAGTAGAATAGACAACCTGATTATTAATTATATGTCATGAGAGTTGAGTAAAGAATAAGGAAAAAGGAGTCAAGATGACTCCCAAATATGATGCCACATTTCATTATATAAAATATGAAAAGAGAAACAAATTTGCAGGGCACCAGCGGCTCATGCCTGTTGTCCTCCCTAATCAGAAGGATTATGGCTCAAAGCCAACCTAGGCAAATAGTTCACAAGACCCTACCTCAAGAAAACCCTTCACCAAAAAGGAAAGTAGAGTGGCTCAAGGTGTAGGCCCTGAGTTCAAACTCCAGTTCCACAAAATAAAATAAATGAAATGAAATAAAATATGAAAAGAGAAGCAAATTTGACTGTGGATGAGGACAGAGAGAAAGGTAAGTTGAGTTTGGATAATACTGAGTCTGAAGAATAAGAGAAACATTCAAATAGAGGAAAGAAAATATAAGTTTCCAAGAAAAGTAGGAACATGAAATACAGAAATAAAAAATCCTTATTATGTAAGTAGTTGCAGAGGACAAATGCAGAGTTATAAGAAGGGACTGAGTGACAGCATAAAGTACCTCCACCAGGGTTGGGGGCATAGTTTAAGTGGTAGAGCACTTGTCTAGCAAGCACAAGGCCCTGGGTTCAATCCCCAGTACTGCAAAAAAAATAAAAATAAGTAAAATGCCTCTAACAGATCAAGGTTTTCTAATCTGCTTTTATTCCTGGAAATTGCTTGCCAATCCAAACCCAAACCAGGAAGGGAAGGCATCTTGGCCAAGAATGGAATTAGAGATTCCAGGTAGCAATGAAGATGGATTAGAGCTAGAAAGAGGTTGGTGGATTCTTCCTGACAGACTTTGGTACTTAAGGAAGCTGGATCTGTTGTGACTATTGGGAGACAGTACTTCTCCAAGGGAGGTTTAGGGATATTTACTAGGGAGAGAGATGGTCATTTGTCCTTCCTCCTCCTGACTGGGCCACTGTAGATGGTCCTGACTGCAACTGGGTATAACCAAATGATAGACCACACTGCCTGATAACATCGTGAAGGACTAACTGCCCCTTTCCCAGGCAAAACTAATTCAACCATCTTTTAAAAATAAATACCTAAAAGCCACTACCTTCCAATAGTGCCAAGGATTGGGGACCAAGTCATTAACACATAGGCCTTTGGGGAACATTTCAGATACAAACTATTTGCATTATTTACCACTGTAAAGGTCTTAGCACTTGGAAAGAACATTCTAATCTTTGTGAAGTTAAAATCTTAAATCATTTGCCCTTAGATGATAGAAATGATCAAATAGGTTTAGAAATAAAACTAAAACATACCTTGCAGTATTGTATGGTAACTTTAAAGCCATGACCTTATTATTACCTTAGAAATTTGCATTCTATCATAATTGTTCCAATTTCACATAATAGGATGAGGAGGAGCTGTAGTTTCTTGGCATCTATTCACAAAGAAATAGGTAGCCATGTACATCCATTTTGCCTGAAATAAATTCTCATTTTATCAGGAATCCTTTCTTTTTCTCAAATTACCCTTATATGTATTATCTGGCACATATCAGGCCCTCAAATACCTATATATGTGTACTGTATTTCAGCATCACTGTTTTATGGGGGAGTTGTCAAACGTTCATGCATGTGCTATGGAATCAATCCAACTTTTCATAGGCAAGCAGAGAACTGAAACAAATTAGCCAAATGTTTTGCTGCAACCAGCCAGATTATTTCAATTTCAACTAATTTACTTCGGCTCACTTCTTCACTTTAGTTGGGTAGTCTAAATTTCTGTTTCAAAAGCATAGCTTTTACCTTCTTACAAAGTTGCCTTTCGGAGTGATTTTTAATCTTGAGTTCCTATTTCACTTCCCATTTGCCATTTCTGTCGGAGACTTTAACACTGTTTCCACAGTTACAAGCCTCAGTTAATCGTGGCCCTGGGAATTGAGTTCCCAAGTGTGTACACAACCCCCTTGACTCTTGCATCCCAGAGTATACCGTGGCTCCAAAGCCTGCCTGTAGGGACCAGAGGCAGTGCCTGCCTGCCTGCTCACCCTGCCAGACAAACATTGTTGGTAAGCCAGCAGTTAGTGGCTCCTTGTCAGTATTTTAGGGACTCTAACTGAGGAAGCCATCTTTAATCTTGCAGAGAAAAGGAATACACTGTCGCCTATATAATGGTACCTTCTGCAGCCTGGCAGAGCAAAAGACAGCCCTTTGGAGGAAAGGAAGCATCTTTCTCAGAGCCACCGGGTAGACTGAGTTTTACTATTCTCCTGGGTTTGCCAGGTAGATACACTAAGCATGCTTAAAATTATAATGCTATTTTTCTCATCACTGCATTCCCAAATTCCACTGATCCTTTGAGGTTTAGCTCAAGTTTTACTTTCTGCATTAAATCATGTTATTATATACTAGAAACATTTTTTAGACTATAGAAAAGTACAGAGAATAATATAGCAAATACTGGTGTAGCATTTTATTTAATTTATAAAAAGAAAAAAATGTGAGACATATACCTACAAAAAAAAGAATTACTTTCTGGAAGAAGAAGGTTGTATTCTATAGAGACAGAAGCCACCTGCTGAAGTCCAGTGGAAATTACTGTAGCTTTTAGAGAAGTGAATCAGGAACGGAAGATCTCTTTGAATTTGTGTCTGGATTCATCTGCCTCTCCTTTTGGCTCTAGCTTTGCTACTGCCTTTACCTGGATAAACTCCAGAATCCAACCCACCTCTGAAATAGAATTACCTTGTGATGCACCTATCTGGCCTACCAAACAGCTCTCCAAGCAGGGATGAGCTCCAGGGACTCAGCTGAACCTACAATTTGTATCCACTCAGAGCCTGAAGCAAAACTATTGAGATTCTTAGTGAATTCTCTGTGTAGAGGTAGTAATTTCTTCCCTCCAAATTCTGACTCTCTCCTTATTTGGGGTTGAATTGTATCCCCTAACATATGTTGGTGTTCTAACTGCCCAGTACTGAGAATGTGAACTTATTTGGAAATAGGGTTGTTATAGGTATAATTCATTAAAATGAGGTTATACTGACATAGGGTGAGTTCTTGATCCAATACAACTGGTATCCTTATAAAAACAAAAAATTTGGATACACATGTTCAGAGAGGGAGGACAATGTGAAGACAGCCATGTGATGATAGAGGCAAAGACTGGAATGTTACATCTGCAGGTCAAGCAATACCATGAATTTCTGGCAAACAACATGAGCTAGAAGACACAGGAGAGAGATTCTCCTCCATAGATTCTCAAAGGAACACAGCCTGCTGACACCTTGACTGAGAATTCTAGCCTCCATAACTCTGAGACAATACATTTCTGTTGTTTTATACTAAATAAAATCAAGATAGACATTTAAAAAAGTGTTATTGATGGTATTGATGTAACTTTGCCACTTACCCCAATGATATTCATTCTCCTTTTCTCTTCCCCAGAAACAAGTTGTTGACTGTTTAGGTAGTTTCTCAATGTTTCTTCCTTTTTTTGGATCTCAGTAAGCCAGGATCCCTAACATGATCAAGCCCAGGGCAAACATTAAAGTGGAAATACAGTCTGGAAATGTAGTGGGCCCACCATCTTGACCAGAAATCATTGTATCTCTTTTGCCTTCCCAAAATGCCTGATTCCTGTAGCATTGAGCATGTGGTCCTTTTTCCCACCACTTATTTTGTACCAACTTTATGTACAGATGTTATATTGTTTTCTAACAATACTACAAATTCTCTAAGCAGTATCATTCTTCTTTTAAAGTTAGTTGGGAAAAGGTCTGGTTTCAGAGATCCTATTCTATGTAGATAACACTTGTAAACCAATCTTTTTATCAGACAAGTACAAACTTAGAAGTGTGCCTCAATTTGTCAAAGGCAATATTGCAACCATCCAACAGTTATTGATGATGTACTGTGATTAACACAGTAAATTTAGCATTATAAGAAATGCATAAAGACTTAAAGATTTGGTTTTCTTACCTTTCAAGCATCTACCTCAAACTATTATGATGTGATTTGGAAGATTCATAGTAAACTACTTCTTGGTTTAAGTGTATAATAGCACTTACAGCTTATATTAAGGCTATTACAATATCACTATTTTATTTGTAGTTTAGACATTTTTTACTGTTTAGATTTTTTTCCAAAGCAAATTTGAATATTGAGTGCTTTCTCAAACATTGAATAAGAGTTGTTTGACCTAGACCAAATCATTAGTACCATCGGCTTCTTTACCGGACTTTGAAAATGTACCTCATTTGCCTGCCTGGCACTAGCAGCAGATCATTTTTAAAAAAAAAACTGCCAAGTCCAGCTTATGGAACTTCCATATCAGCTTTCTCTCCATGACTGTTTGTGAACACAAATTAAATATGTCCTGCAGCTTGTACAATGGAAATACACTTGACCACAGATTCCATTCTGTCGTCTGGACCTGCAAGAAAGCAAAATGGATCAAGGCACATTTTAATGAAATTCTCTATGAATTGAACATTTATTTGTATTTTTAAATAACTACACAAACTGCACCATACACAATAAAACATCTTTTAACTAACACCATTTAAAATTTCACATAAAATATCCCTGAAATTTTATTTCTATCAAAGTTCAATAAAGTCCTGCAAACTTAGCAATCATAGAAATTACTATAGCCAATCATCAGTCAAGGGCTGACTGTCCTAATCTAAACACTTACTAGAATTTGAATTTCTGTTTGTTGTTGTTTGCAGACTCTGCAAATGGATGTGAACAAGCTGAACATAACCTTGCTTCGGACCTTCCGCCAGGGTGTGGCTGCAGCTTTAGGACTCGTACCCCAGCAAGTGCACATCAACCGCCTCATTGTAAGATGCCTACACTCCATATTCCCAGAATTCGAGTTGTTGTTTCATCATTAAAAGGTTCATGCTACAGTTTTATGATTCACAAGTCAAGTCTGGCATAATACCTATTTTTTTTTAAATAAAGTTTTATTGGAACAAGCCACAACCACTCATTCACATACTGACCATCTCTGCTTTCAAGCTGACAGTAGAAGTTGAGTCATCGAAACAAATGTGTGACTCAAGAAGCCTAAATTAATTAACATCTGGCCCTTTACAGAAAAAGTTTGTCAATCTTCTCATAGTTCAAGATTAGCTGCCCTGGTAGTTATGAATGAAGGACCCAAAATACTTGACTTCCCCACCTGACACTAATTCCCAAATATTGTCCTTGAGAGTGTAGCTTTCTGAATCAGGGAAAGCACTGTGTCTAGACAATACCTGTTAAACCCCTTAAAATACATCAGTAGAACGATTGACGCTGAAAACATCAGGCAAAGAATTATGAATAAGGAAAAACTAATCCCTACCGTCAGCAGCCAAATGCCAAGAAAAAATCTTAGATGAGCATTGGAGCTTGCACTGAGGAAAACCCAAGGGATCTGTTGTACAGACCACCTCTCAACCAATCGCCCACATCTATTCTTTGCCCTACTTCCTCAGTGTTTGAGAGCCTGAATGTCACCCAAGTACATGTTTCCATCTGTACTTGAAGATGGGTGTGAGCAAAGGGGGAAGGGGGGCAAATTCAAATCAGATGATTTATTTTATTTGTAAAAAGCTAGTCAACTAAAGTTCACATGAAAAAGAACTTTGGAATTTTCATTGTGCTAAAATTATTAATTTCCATTGCATGGGAAGCTCAGGCAAGGACTATACACTCTTCCTGCCCTAAATTGCTCTGTGGTGCTTGATCAGTTTTCACTGTATCTACATAGGCAGTAGCAGCTATGGTCAGAATTTTTGTTTGTTTGGTTGGTTTGTTTTGGGATTTATGCTTCTTTTCATTTTTCTGAAAGTGAGAGGGTAAATTGTTTCAATCTCCATATAAACTTTTATCCTGTGAGTCAATTATTCTAGGACAAAATAATCTTTTAAAAAATAAAATTTTAACTCAGTATCAGAGAAGAAAATATGTAACATTTTCTATTACCTTTAAGGGTGAAAGAGGCTATACCAGGTGTGGTGGTACATGCCTGCAATCCCAGCATTCAGGAGCCTGAGGCAAGAGGATTACAAGTTTGAGGCTACCCTGGACTAAGTATTGAGTTCCAGGCTGGCCTCAAATACATGGTGAGACCCTCTTTCCAAAAAAATTAAAAAGAAAAAGATGAAGGAAGAGGAGAAAGAGTTGGAGAAGGTTATTACATCCAGGGCAAATCTTACTCAAGTGAGAAGATTTAAGTATTATAGATGCCTTGGATATAGATCTGGATTTTTTATACACAAACATCTTTGATATGCTTTTATGCATATAGATTTAATGAGCATAATAGCTGTGTGCAAAGATTGAAAGAGGTATTTGCCATGCCCAGAGAAGGGTGTATATATCCTTAGAGATCGTTAGCGGCATGATTACAAGTAGTTATTGTGGCAAGCAGAGTTGCAATACCCGAGAGAAGAGAGTTTGGTGATTAAGAGCATGTACTTTGGAGACAGAACCAAACTCCATTGCCAGCAAGGCCATGTCCCAGCTGTGTGACCTGAGCAAACCACTTATGTGTCTTCATTTGTAAAATGGAAATAGCCATAATGCTCATCTCCTGGGAGTGTTGTAAGCATTAGATGAAATAACAGATTTAAAATACATAGGAGTGTGTCCGGCACAAAACAAATGTTCTATTCTACTACTGTTATTAGTTCATAATCTATGCAAGTTATCACTCACATTTTTCACATCAGTATAAATACTGATTGTCATTGTCTATTGTTCCTTCAAATACAGAAATGATACTTCATTTATACCTGAGTGAAATTCTGATAAATTGCATTCAAAGAAAATTTTCCAGCGTGACAGACCTCAGTATGTCAAAAAGAAAAGGCTAACATTTCTTTCTATAAGTTCATTGTTATAAGTTATAAAGAGAATATATATATATCAGACTTTTATCTGATGCTTGTTGTTTTGTATGTGTGTGTCCGTGTCCGTGTGTGTGTGTGTGTGTGTGTGTGTGATATCAGTCATTTATGTTAAGAAACCTGTCTCCATTTCATTTGAGATAGTATTAATAGGAAAAGTACCATGACATACCTGCACAACATATGTCCTTCTTGAGAAGAGTGAATTTTAAACATGTGACATATTTGAGGTGGACAGAATCAGGGAAGAGACATCTAAGTTCATCTGGCACCATTTTCCTTGGCTAGTCCTGCCTTCACATTCATACAAGTGACTAAAATATAGATTGGATATATCAAATGATGACAATATTACATAATTATTTGGGGAATTACTAAACAATATACTTCAAAAATTAAAATATGACCCAGGCATGATAGTACATGCCTGTAATCCCAGGACTTCAGAGGTGAAGGCAGGAGCATCCATTGTTCAAAGCTAGCCAGGGAGACCCTGTCTCAAATTTTTTTTTAAATTAAAATATGAAATGGAAAATAAACCAATCGCCAATAAAATATAAAATCCCAAATATCAGAGTGTCAACTAACTGAAAAAAGACCGCTTGAAGATTTTAGACTTTGGATTTCTAATATTAACTCCAGCAGAGAATAACCAAAGATGTGATCTCCAAATTGGCTTCTACTATACCAGGATTCTGATTTTCTTCATTGTTTCTAAAGGAAAGGTAAAAAATATTACCCAAGTTGCCTGAAATGAGTTTAACACATACAAATAATTATTTTTACCAGGAAAAGAAGAACAGTGTTGAACTATTTGCGTCTCCCATAAACCGAAAAGCAGGAGTTTCTGATGCTCTGCCATCTGAAGAAGTGCTGCGGTCACTAAATGTCAATGTTTTACACCAAAGCTTATCACAATTTGGAATCACAGACATCTCCCCTGAGGTATGTTGCTGCATGGACTATTTCATTTAAAAATTTGTCTAGTTTGAGTGATATGCTAATGCACCCCCAGGCTCTGAGATGAAAGCTGTTTATTGTTTCATATTTGGCTTTAAAAAAAAAATCTCGCTAGGGGGTCAGAATTCTCTGCTCTTCACAGTTTATGTTTATTCTTTAAAGAAAAGCATTTTCACATTAAAGTTTCACTTTTTTGACACTTACTTACTTTATAACTTACTTTGACTTATCCAGTAAATTGTATGGCAGAAAGAGCAGTTATATGGGTGTGTCAGTTAACCACTTGACACTGACATGTCAAAAAACAAAAACAAAAACACCACTCTGTCTTCTTCCTCAAAACATGAACTCCTCTTCATTGTATTCATTGTCAAAATAGTCACCAAATACTCACTTTTCCCCCACACTTTGGAATTATGTGAAATGTGGGGGTTTTTTTTTTACCCATGTTTAAAAGCTGTGGGTATTTCCTTCATAGTATTTCCCAATTTGATATTTTAGAAATATTTCATCTACTACCTCCACCATCTAGCTCTTGGGTGAATTTAGTCCCCTCTCCACTTTTGGTACACTATCCCAATCTAAAAAACTTACTAGAAGGTTCCTAAATATGTGTAATTCAATTCATAGAATCTTAGAATTGTGCCTTGAAGGAACATATGTGAACATTCCATAGATACACAAAGTGGGGCCCATAGAAATTAAGTGACCCCTTCAAGCTGAAAAAAAATAAGTATAAAGTAACACTTGAAATAATCAGCAGATGTGGGGGTGCACACCTGTAATCCCAGCACTCAGGAGGCAGAGGCAACAGGATATTGAGTTTAAGGCAAGACTGGGCTACATAAGATCCTAACTCAAAACAAAACAAAACAACCTCTAGATATCTTGATTCTTGGTCAATTCCTCTTTCCAGCAAGTCTCATGACTCTCATTTTAGCAAATACCACCAATATGTATAAAAGGCTTTAGTATAAGACTGAGCCCCAAAGCTAACGCTTACAATGTGTGTGACCTTGGGCAGATCGTTTAATGTCTGTGAGATTGTCTGCCTTTGCATAGTGTCAACCTCTCTGAGCCTCAGTTTCTTCATTTTGAAAACGGGTATAGTCTTTGTCTTACAGACTTGAAATATGGACCACATTTTTTGAAATATATGTAGAAATACTAACATGGAGTATGTACCAAACAACTATGATTTGAATTCAGGATGGGTTGGCAGAATGAGAACATAGAGTCCTCCCTTGATATCCTTGGGGGACTGGTTCTAAGACACCCATGGACACCAAAACTCATGTGTTCAAATTTCTTATATAAAATGTTGTATTTGCATATAACTTATACATAGCTTCCTGTATACTTGATATCACCTCTATATTGCTTATAACACCTTATACAATGTAAGTGATACATAAATAGTTGTTGCACGCTATTGTTTAGGGACTAATGGAAACAAAAAGTCTACATGTTAAAAACAGATGAAATTTTTTCTCAAATAATTTTCATCCACAGTTGGCTGAATTTCTGCAGATGCAGAAACCACATATAGTAGAGCCAACTGTATGTCACTGTTGAGCCGTGACCGTCATAACCACCCCACTAATCCTCCTGCTTTTGGTTTTGCTCTCTTCCCTGCCCCTCTCCCTTCAACACACAAAGCCACCAGACTAATCTTGCTCAAAGTAAATCTGGCTTACTTTCTTAATATCGTGATTCTTCTTTGGCTTCCACAACACTACAGAATGAAGTATTGGATTTTTTAGTATGGTATGTGGTTCTTCATGTACTGGACTTTATAATTGTTCAACAACCTCTCCTAGTTTACATTTCAGCAATTCTGAATTTATGAGATGTTATGACCCCTCCCATCCTCCACCTCCTTCTTGTTTTTCAAAATCAGTCTGTTGTGCAGAAAAGCCTTCCATTGTGCCTTCAAGGATGTGGATTCTTACTGCATTGCATTTTTATTAAGTTTAGGGAAAAAAAAAAAACTCTTGTTCCATGTGGTCTTTAAGTCTGTCTCTGCACTGAAAGCACATGACATGTCATTTTATCTGTGTCTTCAGTGTCTTCATGTGCCTGGTATATAATGGGCACAAAATGAAAACCCAAGACAACAAGTAACCAAACACTAGGTAATATCCAAAATCAGAAAAATAAACGAATAAATAGTATGATTCTGCTCTCAATGAATTTACACTGTCATCGAGCAAAGAAGGCACAAACAGATAAGGAGAACACAGGACTATATAAAGATCCATTCTCTCCCAGGGAAGCTTTGAAGAGGCCATCTTGCACTTCAAGAGGCCAAGGGAGGGCTTGGAGGCATACTTGAGTGGTAGAGCACCTGCCTTTCAAGCTTTAGGTCCTGAGTTCAAACCCCAGTATACCAAAAAAAGAGGCCAGGGGAGAAGTTACCCCTTCCCATCCCAACCTAAATCCAAAGGTGAAGTGACTTACTTTGTACAAGCTAAACCTCATTCTCTTAGTCTAGGCCCTTCAAAATCTAGTAAAAATCTTGCCTGTGGAAATTTCTAAAAAATTTTAAAAAGATCATTGAATTAATTTATTCTATTATCTATAAGCTTTTAGAGGATAATACACACACTTCTCATTGCTTTATTTTGAGTTTTGCTGCCATTCTGAAGGCCATAGGAATACATCAGTGTATTGTCACCCAGATTTGTGAGGCTCACTATACAAAAGAACTAGTTAAAATCAAGTGCTTGGGGGTCTTCCAACAGAGCCCAACCCAGTGAAGGTGAGGGGCTTAACTTGACCACCCATCACAATAGAACACAAGGTCTTTCTTGTATTCGAATAATAAAAGTACATTTGGTGATCAAAATATGGTATTCTCTCATAAAATTGTTGGAATCTGACATCTAGGAAATAGCCAATACATGAAATATACATTATAGGAGGTCAGCAAGTGTTTGAATCAACTTTGAAGAGCATTTCATCAAGGAGAGCTAGATTGTTTGAACACTTTGTTCAGCCACTCCTCAAGTGACCAAACATTACCCTCTGACCTGGAGGGTCAATGCAGAAACAGAAGAAACCTGAAGAGAAAGGTGTCTGCAGTAAGCAAGCACCCAGTTGGTAGATTCAGCCCACAGGAGCACTGCAGAAATGTTTGTGGATGGTTGTTTAAAGCATTGATGAGTTTTCCCACTTCTTTATTCATCTTCTGGTTAATGTTTTATAACAGCTGTGCCTCAACCTATTGTTTCACATTTTAATCCTCAAAATACAGCTTGCTATGGTAACACGTTCAACAGAAAAAAGAGGAAGGACCATTGGTCTTTTGGCTTTGCATCTTTTACATGGATTATGGAATATCACGAATGATGTCTCAACGTATCTAGTCCTAAATTTATGTTAATTACTTTCATGCTTTTGTTGTTCTGTTTCTTTATATGCTCAATTTTTTAAAATTAGAAATGACTCTTGGGAAACAAGAAAAATACCAACTAGAAAATCACTTTTGTTTGTTCATTTTTTTTCCAATCTCAGTTTCTTGAGAGAAAAGACATTATTTCTTTCATATATTTTTATATGATACCTAGAATATTATAGGCACTCAAGTACTTTTTTTATTATAAGCTGCTCATAAAGATAAAACTAGACCTCCTCTTGCCTAACAAGTCAAATTCTAAGGAAATCAAATTAAACTCGTTATTTTAGTTTCTATTTACAAATGTTTTTACAAAGTGAATTAAATATCTATTGAAATAGTAAGTGCTGCATTAATATTGAAAAAAATTACTTAGAAGTTTTTTTTGATGTTCAATTTCAAACTTCTCCAGTTTCACAGGTCTTATATTTCAAAGGAAAGAGTTACTTTCTTTAAATAACAGGCTGATGTGTTGACTAATACATTCACAGAATATGTACAAAGAAAAAAATATATAAATGTGAGCCATAATTCATGGGTGATTGTTTGTTCAAACTCAGAACTCTAGCCCACAATCTAGTCTAAAAAATTATAGACTTAGTCATACAACTAAGGAGATCGATGTTCAATGTGTTAGATCAGCCAGACCAAGTGCTCACTTTGTGCATAATGCAGTGGAAATTTGGCAATTACCCAACAAAGCCATATTGTTGTAGGAAAGATCTCATTTTTCTGCCTAATTCAATCAAATTAACCAGATAATTTATAACATATCCATTTTATTCTCATTCTGTGGGCTTCGTCTCTCCCAAAGAGATATATCTCCTCAAGATATATCAAACAATGATATTTCTATCACCTTTTCTGACATTTGAGAATTAGAGAGAGAAACAAACTAAAGCTCATCAAATTATGAAACAGATACAGAGAAGTCATTTTACAGATAAAGGAAACTGACCACATTTTCAATAATAAAGCAAAACTCATCAGCTTTTTCACTGCAACTAAGTTAAAGGGCAGAACAATGTAACTATGAAAGAAGACATAAAGATGGCAAGAACTTGACCTGGCCATGGTATCTGTGAATTATTAAACCCTCAGCACGGTGACAAAATATAAAAGGCATTGGGTTAACCCTATGTGAAGGCTAGATTAGAGATTACCATGAATTACAATCTTTTAATGTGTGGGATCTTAACTACAAACTTTTCCATTTATTACCCTGCCCTTATCAAGTTTTTTAGATCTCTGTACAAATATAGTAGTGCTCAGCAGGAGTAGCATGACTCAGAAGGAAATCTATTTACCAAGAAAGGGTAATGACTAAGTCCTAGTTCAAAACACATGTCTTTCTAACTGGAGGTGGGTGATGGGAGGATAGAGGACAATTCTTCCATCATCATTGCTTCAGTTTAAAAAGAAAGCAAAACAGATATGTCTTAAGCAGACAGGAACATGTTGATATCCAGGGAGTTGTAGAACTACAGCAAGAAAAAAGAAAATTGAACCAAACCAGGTTAGGAACACAACAACTCTTTCCACCCACCTAACCACCCCTTTTTACCAAATTTCACATGAGTTTAAGCTCAGTTCCTTATACTTAAATTTGACAAATTTATGCTGCCTACTTGAAGGCTTAAATAGCTTGCTTTTAAAACTAACAACGGATGATATTTTGTTGCTTACAAAAAACTCATTTCCATATTTATACTCGATTCTTACAAGAGATTTTTATTAGTAGCTATGTTAATAGAGACAGAACAAAAAAACGACCTAGCTGATGTCAAAGAGGTGAAAGAAAATTGTCACTTGAACCCAGAATTTCCAGCAGCATACTTGGTTAATAATCATTTCATCCATCAAGTATCATTATATTCTGACTAATCTATCATTTACATGTATATAAAATATATGTCTAAATCATTTATTTTATCTATGTATCTGTCTAGAATTGTGGAAGATATTTTAATGAGCATGTCACTGTTTTAAAAGCAAAAAAAATGGAAACTTGGCTACTTCAAGCAATAACTAAGTCTCCTCCGAAATGCTTTCTATAATCACAATTGAACTCAATATCTTTTCTGTTCTACCTTGCTGTCTACCAAAACTTGACTTAGCTCCAAGATAAAAATTTTCATGAAATATTTTTCAAGGCAAATATTTTTGTCTAATTTGCAAATATTGGATGTACCTTTTTTAGGTTTCAAAAATAATTAGAAGTGATTCAAAGATCAGGCACCTAGAAGATAGATTTAACTCAAGGCTTTCTTAGACATTGGAGACAATATCCAAGGACAGACACACCCCTCACTTAGGCCACTTGTTTGGATTTAGTTTCTTTAACCATAAATCTATAATGTTGTTAAATTATAAAACATTTTCATTCTAAAATTTGACTTTAGTCAATGTGCTTTAAAAAATCGGTAAAATAAAACTACCAGACATCCACCTTTTATCATGTTTCCTCTCCACTCTTCCACCCCTGAAGTAGTGAACAAAAAACAATAAAAATTAAAAGAAACCTATTTATCTTACCTTTCATTATCTGAAAACTTCTGAACTTTTGATGTTCCCTGTTGCTTTAAATAAACAATTTATATGTGGAATGGTACTTGGTCAAATTTTGACAAGGTACACTCCATTTAAGGAAAAAAAATCCAATGTGATAGAAGGGGGGATGTGAGAAAGAAATGATTCTGACATGGTTGCTCCGTTTATGAAGGCATCATGAGCTTTTGTTTGCACCTGTTTGGCTGTTGTTAAAAAGAGCAGTGTCACATCACGTAAGCCAGGGTGTTGATATTGTGGGAGGGGACTCAGAGAAAGAAGAGCTTCAGAAACAATTTCCTCAGCACAGAACAGAACAGAACTCCCTTACCTGTGAACCAGGTAGTTTCCAAGAGAAACGGTGAGAGACGTTTACCAAGGCGAGGACTTGAGAGTGCCTGCCGGGCATGCCTGCTCCCCTACAGGAGATTAAGTAATCTTGATGTAGAAGGAAGGCTGTCTGCTGTCTAGATCCCTTTGAGAAGCAGCTCTGGCAGTGGGGGATGTAGGTGTGTTCCACTACACTGAATGGAATAAAGCTAAAAATGTGTAGTGTCTGATAAGAACGCCAGTTTCCTCAAGCTCTCATTTAACATCGGACTTTCTGTTTTGCTTTTAAAGAAAAATGTTTTACAAGGGCAGCATGAAGCGGACAAAATCTGGAGCAAAGAAGGATTTTATGCTGTTGTCATTTTTCTCAGCATCTTTGTTATCATAGTAACCTGTTTGATGGTAAGTTTGCTTCTTTGTATATTTTATCCTTTGCTGAGTCCACTGTTTAATATTATTGGTTACATTGCCATTCAAATGAATGTGAGAAAGACTGAGAGCAGAAGCAAGACTATAATCCTATTAGGTTGGGAATATTTCACAACAGCAGACTGACTGCTGATGGAAAACCTAGGCAAGTGTGGATGCTGACCTGCATAACAAGGTAGCAATTATACTAAAGTTTTTAGTAACTTGAGCAACCCCCAGAAGGAAGCTTAGAATGTGATTTATTGAGGTCACTGAAACCCTCAAAGTCATTAAAGTCTCGTGGGCACAATTTGGGCTTACTTTATTTCTTCTTTTATATCATCTTTATGGTACTCAGGAAAAATAAAGAAAAGGAAATAGTGTCTTTGGGGCAAGCTTTCTCCCAAAGGAAGGGTTGATTTCCTTACTTTTAAAGGGCCTTGAAGCATTCCATCAAATACCAGGCATAAAAAGATGATTATATCTTTAAAGCTAAACAACCTGCTACTCTCTAGTTTTTAGTTGAATGAATAGTATGTAAGTATGAAAGTGTATGCCGCAATATTTCTATAAGCCAGATTGTGCAACCTTTAAAAACATATTTCTATGTTTTAAAAGAAAAAGAAACCTAACCCACTAAGTTAGCCAGTGTTATTTGGTGTTGAATGAGTTAAAAGTTATCTTTCAAATAGAATGATAAATGTTTTTATTCTTTTAAAACTTTTGTGATTTAACATAAAATGGGAAGTTTACAAATGGGTTTTAATATCTTTTTTCCTGTGTGCTATGTTCTTTTTAATTTTGCACATTTTTTAAAAATGCTTCTTATTTAGTCCTTAAATGTTCCTCCCAAAAGACATTGTGCTACTTATTCTACCACAATCAACACCATTACCAAGTGTTTTGTTGGATTTTATTCATTTGTGTTCCCTCTCTTGGGAAAGGATTTATGTTACAAAGATTGAGACTCAGTCTGGAAAGGCAGAGTCTGAGTGGATTTAAACCTAAAGGATATAAAATAAGTAAAACTTGAACTGGGTGAAGAAAGGCATGTTTCCTAGAGCCCAAAATATAGAAAGTAGTAAAAATATCCTAAAACTTCCACCATAATGAATTCAAAGGTATCTCCTTTGAGTCAGAAATTAAGAAAGAACATTCAAAAACTGTAACCCAATAAATTAATAATTTATTGATTAAGAATTAACAAGAACTGGGTAAAAGTAAGTTTTTATATCATATGGTGGATATTAAGAGTACAGAATTTTTTGGCAGTACTGGGGTTTGAACTCAGGGCCTCACGCTTGCTCGGGCTCTACCACTTGAGCCACACCCCAGCCCAAGGGTAAAGAATCTTAAAGAAAGAAGATTGAAGGTGTTATGGAAATTGTGGCAGAGACCTCTGAGTATTTATTACCATTTTTTTAAAGGATGTAGTTTCTTGGAATGGTTAATTATACTTTAAAATATGTGACTCTTTCCCCAACACAAGAAATCTCAACTGCACTTCTCTATCTTATCAATCGCAATTAAAGGTTCTTCTCCTTTACAGATGAAAAAGGACAGCAGAAGCTGGTGTGGGGGGTAGCTCAGTGGTATGGCACATACCTAAAATGTGCAAAGCCATGCATTCAATCCCCACCAGAGAGAAAGGGGGTTGGGGAGGGGATAGAAAGTTGAGAATAAAAAAGAATAATAAGTGATAAAAATGAGATTTTTCAGATGATGAATGGGTAAGATTCAGGAGAACAAAGGCAAGCTCAGAAAGAGTAAGTCAAGAAGCTGCTTCAGGTGCAAGGCTTTGAGTGCTATAGGGCAGAGAGAGGCAGAGCAGAACTGACTACTAACCTGTAAAATATGTTTCAGACTCAGCAGTTGTAACTCGGGGAGTGCCCATATACCAACATAAAACTAAATACATCCTTGCCTAGGTCTCACGTGTTCTGCAAAAGGACCCATAGCAACCACACCCTCAACCACTTGGAGGTGGGAGCAGGTCTTCCTGTCCCAATATTGCAAAACACCAATGTAAAAGGAAGAAATCTGCTCCAAGGTTACTAGACAAATCAAGGAAAGAATGTTTCAGAAGTATAGGTGTTTGCTGTCTATTGGTGGATTCATTCATTCATTCATTCAATCAAAATGTTCCTATAGAGGATCTGCTATGGACCTATTGTTGGCCCTCCAGGCAAAGGAGAGGACACAACAGATAAGGTCCCTGTTCTCCAAATCCTTTAATCTAGAGGAAAATGCAGACAATAATTAATGTATTTTTAAAAATCAAATAGCCAGGTGCAGTGACTCACATCTGTAATTCCAACCACTTGGGAGGTGGATATCAGAAGGATCACAGTTCAAGGCCAGCCCACACAAAAAGTTAGTGGGACCCTATTTTCAACAAAACAAGCCAGGTATGGCGGCATGCACCTGTCATGCACCAGGCATGCACCAGGCAAAAAGTAAGCCCTATATGAAAAATATCTAAAAGCAGTCAGATGCCAGTGACTCATGCCTGTAATCCTAATAACTTGGCAGGCAGAGATCAGAAGGACTGTAGCTCGAGGCCAGCTCCAGCAAAAAGCAAGACCCTATCTCAAAAATACCCAACACAAAAAAGTGCTGGCAAAATGACTCAAGTAGTAGAATGCCTGCCTAGCAAGAGTGAGGAGGCCCTGAATTCAAACTTCAGCACCACCCAAAAAAAAAAAATATATATATATATATACATATACGTATATATATATATATATATATATATGTATATATATATACATACATATATACCTAAAAGCAAAAAGGGGTGGAGGTGTGACTCACCTGCTTAGCTAATGTAAGGCCCTGAGTTCAAACCCCAGTAACATCAAAAGATAAAAAAATAAATAGTGAATGTACTGTATGCTTTCAACTACATGGCATTCCAGGAAAGGCAAAACTAGAAACAATGAAAAGATCATTGGTTTTCAGAAGTAAAGGAGGCTATTTAAGTGAAGGACAACAGACTTTAGGAAAGCAAAACTATTCTGTCTTCTCTAATGACAAATGCATAGCATTATTCATCCAAATGTACAGAATACACAACCTAATCTAAACTGTAGATTTTAGTCAATAATAATGTATCAATACTGTTTTACCAATTGTAACAAATGTAGCACACCTATGCAAGACAGTAATAATAGAGGCAACTATCTGGCGGGGGGGCGGGGGGGAGTTGGGGGGGTTGGGGTGTATCCATTCTTTTATAAAAATCAAACTGTGATAAATTCCATGAAGAAGATAGCATCATAGTACATGATAGAGCAGAACAATCTGAGACATATGAAAAGGAAGGAAGAGAACCTCTCAGGCAGAGGGGACAGTGGGCAGATGTGTGGAGTTGAAATAAGCTTAGCCTGTGGAGTTCAAGGGGAAGTTGGAAACAGAATTTAAAGCAGAGCCTTAATATGAGTGTGAGTGTGTCTCAAAGATTTTGTTCTCTGCTTGTGGAAAGTGGTTAGGGACAGAGGACAGAGTAAGGGTAGAAGCAGGAGGATCCTTCCAGAAGCTACTGCAACAATCTAATGAGGAAGATGATGGTGGCCCAGAGTAGGCGATGGTGGTAGACAAGGAGAGAAGTAAAGGATGGAGATCTATTTGCAGGTAGAATAACCAGGACTTGGAGTGCCCTGATTCTCAGGGAGAGAGGGAAATTAAGGATGACTTCTAGATTATTTCACTTTGACTACCTAAGTGGTGGTGCTCCCAAATTCTAGAGGAATTGGGGGGAATAAAGAGCAAGCAAGAAACAACAGTTTTGATTCATAAACAGATAATTCCTGAAGGAATGAAACAGAACGATTGATTTCTACACTGTCTTAAGTTTTGTATGAAAGGGTCACTTTAAAAAATAAACAGAGGAGCTAGCAATGCAAGAAAAGAAATAGATATGCATGGGAAAATAAACACTGCCTAACAGGATGAAGAAGAAGCCATGTTTATCTGATGCAATTTACCACAAAGAAATCGATGGTTCACATTTAGGTACACATCAGATGTGAATCTCTGAAATCAGCTATTCTTTGTAAATTTTCAAATGTTTTTGATAATGATCTTAATTTAAATTTAAGTTTTTACTTGGGTCTCTCAGTTACAGTTACACGTAGTATACTTTTTATACTGAAATATACTGAGTTATACTTTTGTGATCCTCAAATATATATATGGTTTATTTCTGTTTCCCAAACTTTTGTTGACTCCACGGCAAGGAAAAAATTTAACTCAGAATTTTCCTTCTGGCATTAATTATATTCATGAAAGATCCAGCGCTCCTACTTGCATTGAGCCTTCCTACATATCATAGAAATGAAAACCATGTGGTTTTATTATGAAATTATATAGGTAAATTGCTGTAATGGAGGGTTGTGTATGCTAGATAACAATAACATAGGACTTGGTAAATTTTTTGAAAAGTGGCATATTGTTTACTTTTCTTAAAATACAAAAAAAGAGAGAATGTATATTGCCAGGCATAAAATTAGACAGGCATGACATTTTCAAATGTGTGACTTATTTAGCACTTCTCAAATGTGAATGTGGAGTGGGTGGAGCGACAAATAGACAAATACAATTTTCCAAGAAAAAATGTGTGGGCAACCTCCAATCCATTCAGTCTGTTTTTATTACTAAGAAGAATTAGTTCTTAAACTTGAACAAATAATAGAAAGAACAGCATTTATCATCTAAATTGGACTTTCAAATATGCTAAGAGGTTCATTAAAAAGTATTTATGAAATTCAAATAGAGATGTCTTATAGGGCAAGCAGTCTTAGAAATCATGTTTAAAAAAAAAAAAAAGTAGCCACATCAAACCCATAGAAGAGTCATCCATGTGTAAGGTAAAGGGTCATGGTCTAATAGCTGAGTACGGAAGTCCTATATTGTGCCACCAGATATGGCCTGAGTGACATGCAATAAATTACATGTCAAAGGTGGACATAAAGAGACACACTTTTTAAATTTGT